TTTTGAATCTATGCGTCGATTGGCATGGCTAATTTCTCTTTCGCGGTATAGGCGTACATTGCAACAGAAAGCCTTTTCTGCGAATCACCGCCGTATAGGAAGTAGGCTCCCCCTGATTGTCATAAATGCGGCATTTATTTGTGTGCAAGAAATTGATCACCACAACGGCAGTAGACGAACGTATCATCATCTACGTAGTAAATTGTCGTGGTGGATTTGTTTGTGCGAGTGTCACCTTTTAGTTTCATTGCTTCAATCTCAAAAAGATTGTTGTTCTTTCTGTAACAGTGTCATTGAATCCCCTTTCATTACCACGCTTTTTTTAACGGCGTTTGAATAAGATGATGGTCCTGTTTTTCGCGGTGGTTGATTTCTCTCTCTCCCCTCTTACTGATGTTCATGTGGATTTTTTTTCCCAAACCGTGTTTCCTTACACCTGTACTGATACCGAATATTGATTTTGATCTATACACATTACACCGGCTTTATCTTCATCTGTCTCCCCATATATCCGTCAGTTTGCCTCATTATGGTCGGGGGTGGGTGTTTAGGGTTGCAGCTGGTTCTCCTTCCCTTGCACCTCGTAAAATGCTCCTATAGGCGACCAAGAGTCTTAAATAGCCTCTACCGAGGAAGTCCTACTCACTGCCTTCTCGTAGGGCGGAGGTGGTTTCCCGCCACCAAAGTGAGAGGACGAAAAGCCGATATCCGGGGCTATAACCTGGTTGGCGGACCACTGATAGTTCACCTAGGGGAATGGGCTAAAAACCCTGATTCCAAACCAACCAAGAGGAGGCGTGCGAACCGCAAACAAAATTCTGGTTGTGGTAGTGGTCACCGGTTCGATTGGACATTGAGTTGTATTGGGCACTTTGGACGTTTGACTCCGTCTAAAGGATGTATGATCCGATGAGCTGGACACCGGCTCCCAATGGATTGCGGTTTTCCCACATCGCCCCGCTGCCTTGTGGGTCAGGCTTTGGTTAGCCAAAGGCTCCGGTTGTGAATTCCTCAAGAAAATTCACGTGGCTTGGCCTGGACAACCTGGCAGTATTCCGCCCACATACAAATCATGGAACGTTTTTCTTTTTCATAAAGATTATTGGACCATGATTTGTTTGGCACACGGTCTGGATTCAGACATGTATGATAATGTATATATAATATAATGCGGTTATCGTATAATAATGTTTTACGTTGATACAATTATTTGGTATTTGCAAGCAGTGCATCCCACTCGTTTGTGAACATATAAATCCACCTGTGACAAATCGTTTCTTCTCGCGCGTGCACTGGTTTTAGCTCCATTAGATAATCTGATCGGTCTGGTCCTGTATTTACCTCGAGCGAAACTTGTCTGCTATCTACTTGTAAATCACGTGATTATGAAAAAATGAAATCTCAGTAATCAAATCAATCTTTACAATTTCGATGGAGGT